GAAGCTAAGATGTCAATGTCCTTAGCAATATCGTCCATGGTCTTAGTTACCTCTCATACAGGGGCATCCATGACCTGAGCGTTTCATCAGAATTCCTGTGGCCCCAAAATTGTCTTTTCCAGGGAGAAACCGGCTCCTGCATGATCTTCTTCTGCGCTGAGTCCTTCAAGGTACATGTTAAGTCATCAAGGCTTTAGGTCACAGATGCTGTGGAGAGTGGCCAGCTACAGGGCAACCTAGAGTCCCAGTAAGAATCTGAGCTACCAGATTTTAGTTTTTGGTGACACCAAGACAGAAGGGAGGGAGAAAAATTGGAAATGTTAATTTGGAGGTTGTAGGAAGATACTGGAGGAAAACAAAAGAGTTGAAAATCTGGTAAGGTTTGACAATGTGTGCAAGATTATGGATCTGGCACCATTTATAGGTGGTAACAAAACTGGTTTTTCATGTCCATCAGTTACCTTCAATTTACAAAAGGCTCAAACTAGCTCAAAGACAATGAACAGGACCAGAATCTGGTAACTTCACAGGGTGTGCTATAGTTTTCCATTGAAACACAAAAATTCTCTCTACAGATACCCACCTTTTGATCAGAATAATCTCAAAGAAAAATTATTCTTGATCATAAAATAAAATTGGTCTCATTAAGTTTGGCTTCATTATTTACACAGGTGCAGCAGAATGGTGATTTAACATATAGACCTTTTAAAGTTTGCTTTGTGGAAGATTTCATAAGGAATTTCAGATGGACATTTAAAAGCCTCTTGAGGCTAGAAAGCCACCATCAGATTTTACTTGCATTACTCATAGATTTGGGTGAATTCCTCTCTTCTCGAGGCCCCTCAAATAGCCTCAGTTTCTCTGGCCCACTAGGAAGAGAACTTCCTTACTCATCTGTAAGACTGGGAATTCTGTAAGCCAGGTTCCAGGCCAGTTTTCCCAAGAGGGCTTTGTAAGCATTGGTTCCATGAAGTCAATCTTAGCTCCTCAAAACTAACTGATCATATATGATTCATTCTCAAATATGACATTCTTATTCAGAGTACGCTTTGTAGCATAACCAATGTTTCCAATTATTTTCTGTTAATAAGGAAAACAGATTCTTACTGAACTTATGCAAATGCTTATATTGCCGTGGAAATAAGAATATTCAATAAAAGTTTCTGAATTCTGGAGGAATCAGACAGGAAGAAAAAGATTACATTTCTTTTTATGTTTCTATTTTTCAAAATCATAGTTATCTAAGTTGTGATAGATAAAAGAAAAGAAAAAGCAGTTCCTTATATCCAGAAAATGGGATATTAAAGTATCAGTCACATTCTAAATAAAACTCAAATCATTCCTCATTGGTTCACTCAGTTCCAATTCATGTTCTGTTCTGTCTTGGGTCAGTAGCCTCATGAACCCATTTGCTTCTTCATTAGAATGCTGGAAATCCAGAGTCAGTCCAATGGTACAGCTGCAGAGTTATTTAAGCAATGCCACCAGAAGCTTGTGTCTATGAGTAGTGAACACAGTCCTTTCCCGTGGGGCTGAGACCATCCTTTGTTAACGTCAAGAGCACTCTGGTCTATATCTGATTTCCGAGTGCTTTCAGGGAAGCCTCAAAGTAAAACAAAAAAACTATCTGTAAATGACAAAAAAACTTAAAATGACTGTGGTTAACTTAATAACAATAATTTTCAAAAGTGAAAGATCTAATGAGTTCATTACAAAAATAAGGCAATTGACAATGAATTTGGTTGTTTCTGTGGCATGTAAAACACAATAGAGTCAATTCAAAACCAAAGTGACAATAGAAAATTTTAAAAGAAAACATAGGTTGTAACAGGATTATGAAGAATCTCAGTTCTTTCAAGAGTGAGAAGATTTTGTTCCTTTAAGTAATCAAGGACATGAAAAAGTCAACATAAAGCACAGAAAATTATTCTAATAAGACACAATGTTTGCCTTTTAGGCAGAAAGATGGTGAAGAAAAACCTTTATAATCTCTTAAGAAATATATCCATAATTCAAGAAAATTTTGCCATTTAACAGAGAGAAAACCAAATTTTAGTTTTGCATCAGCACAATATCTGATACTAAATCTCTTTTTCGAACTCCTGGCCTCAAGCAGTCCTCCTGCCTCAGCCTCCCAAGATGCAAGGATTACAGGCGTGAGCCACCACACCCAGCCGGATTCTAAATCTCTTTTTAAGAAAATCTTATAAATTACCCGACTAAACCTTAGCCAGCTTTGACTAAAACAAAGAAAATCCCCTTTCTGTGCACCTTCTACAACTTTCTATATCCATTCAGATTTTACACTACATGTTCTTCATCCTGGTTCTGGAACAACCAGTCATTTTACTTCAGGACAACACTACTTTCCTTTCCCTTAACAAAAACACATCCTGAATACCTTGCACATAAAGTCATTTTTTCTGCAATTATTTTTCCTAAAGAGTCTCATTCACATATATCGATTGTAACTTTTAATGACAGTAACTTCTATTTTGCAGAGATAACTATGAGGTGATAGTTGTAAACTGTCATATGCCATAATTTTGTAGCAGAAATTATGAATATACCTCTCACAACTTTTTATAGCCATATACATCCTTATAATACAACTTCTCAATGTGGCAAAATATATAGATCCTTAAAATTATGGTTAGTGATTAATATTTCAGTAGTTTATTTTCTAGGAATGATCTAGGTATTTAATGAAAATCCATTAATTAACTTAATACAGCATAAGTTTTAAGTTACTAAAAGAGCTTAAGACTATCTTCAAGCTGACATACTACAAAGCATAATTACTATTGAAATAAAGTTTACCAGAATAATGATTAATTTGGCTAAACACAAGACTCCAGTTTTCGATATCAAAATATTAAAAATATTTAAATATTTTTAAATATCTGGGAAATGTAATGCCAGTTTATTCAATTAATAAACCTGTCTAAGTTCAGAAAGAACATACCCAAATAGAATACAAATGTATGCTTGTATTACACTTAATTTGGATACCTCAGAACACAGCTCTTTATTAAATAATAATATTAAACTTGTCTTATTTTTTAAAGAGTTACCTAAATTTTATGAACTTGAATTTTACGAACTTGAATTATTAAAGCATTTGGATTAGTTTTTAGAAGAATATATTTTTTTAAAGTATTAGAAGAATATATTTTTTTAAAGTATTAGAAGTTTAATTTTACCACAGAGTGGCTTAAAACAACAGAAATGTATTATCTCAGTTCTGGAGACTAGAAGTCCAACATCAAGTTGTTGGCAAGGCCATCCTCTCTCTGAAGGCCCTGGGGGAAGATCCTGCCCTGCCTCTCCCTAGCTTCTGGTGGTTGCCCACAGTCCTTGGGGTTCCTTGGCTCGTGGACATATCACTCCAATGTCTGTTTCCTTTGTCACATGGAGTTCTCCCTCTGTGTCTCTCTGTGTCCAAATTTACCTCTTCTTACAAGGACTCAGGTCACGGGACTAGGGCCCACTCTAATCCAGCATGACCTCATCTTGGCTTGATGACATCAGCGAGGCCCTATATCCATTGAAGATCTCATTCCCAGCTACCGAGGATTAGGACTTGAACATATCTTTTGGGGGGACACAATTCAACCCACAACATCTTATAAATAAGTGGTGGGCCTAGGGTTCTGCATACTCCCCAGTCATCTGCAGAATGGGGTATTCGTGCCCCAGGGATCAATAAAGATGACCCCCTGGAAGTAAGAGAAGATTAGACTATTTGTTTATTTTAAAATGTCCTTTTTTAAAAATTTCTATTTGTGTTTTATGATGTAAATAATATATTTACAATAGTACATGAATATGTTCTGTAAATAAATATACATATTCAGTGGACACTCAAAATTTTAAAACTAACTAGCGTGGAGAAAAAAAAAAGTTGAAGGCCCTTTACCTACTCTACTCCTTCTCACCCATCTATTTAACTGGTGGTCACTGGTTTATTAGTTTCTCTTTTTAACAGTTGCTTCAGCTTAGTAACGGTCTACTCACTGTTTGAGGTTTGTCGTGAGGTGTCCACCCCCACCCATCACAGGGTTTAGTTGAACAAGGGTTTAGTCTGAATAAAGAACAATTACCAGGCCTAAGCCAGGGTGACAGGCAGCAGGAACCTTAAGAATGAAGCAATTTAACAAGCGTTGCTCCATATAAAGATATGGAATGTATCTTTGTGCGTTTCAATAGCTTTTGTCTAATTGTCTGTTTTCTTTTAGTATTTCAGACTGACATTAAACCCAGGTTTAATGTCATTTAGGTCTAAAGACATGCTGTTCATGGTCTAAACAATTTGATGTCTGTTATGGTGGAGAGGGGAGGCACAGGCTTGGAACTTTTTCGAAATGGAGCTTTTCAAGACAGGAGAGCCACTACAAACCAGGAGCCAGGTTTGATTACGCCTGCCTTCTTGCTGCATCAGTTCTACAGATTTCCTTTTACACATGATACAATCCCAAGATCCAGCCCTCAACCCCCACATATACCTATCCTTTCCCAGGAATTGTTTTGGGTTTCTTAAGGGAGGGAAGCTGATATGCTCATAGGTAAACAAACTTCAAAAAATTGATAGTGTCCATTTGAAAATTCACTGGTTGATATATTTTAAAAACAGGGAGGAGTCAATCTAAATAAGGTAAAGTGTGTAAATTTGAAAAGATATTCGGATGTCCATGGAGAAGAATTGTTCAAAAGAGTAAAGGGTGGTATAACATTAAATAAATCATGGCTTTCTTCCACATTAAAAACATTTTTGTTGGTTGTTGAACTCTTTGAACACTTGGCATGAGGGTCTATTGATTGTGGAGGAACTGATCACCTTCTCATGGGTTATTTGAGCTCCTATGTGGATATAAGTATATTTTTGTTAAAACTTATTCCACCTGTGTCTGTCAATTTCTTTCCACTTGTCTCCTCCCATGACATTCTGGCTCATGTTTCTCCATAAAGCTCTAAGCCAGTTACTAATAACAGACCAGTGAGCCTCCTGATCCCACAAGAGCATATGGTGTTTTTCACAAAAGAGAGAGAGACCATTCCCTTGACTTTGGACTTCGCTTATTGAACCTCTGAACCGTAAGTGAATTTTTTTTTTAAATGTAACATTTTAAAATGTTGATGTAGGAGGACAATTTAGTGTGACTCGTTTGCTTCTTGTAGAGGGAGAATATAGTAGGTTAAAACTCGCTAAGACCCACAAAGCCTATTTCCTATTCTCTGCATTTCAACACCTCTCCAGTTTTTGTAAGGCTGATTATAAGAGAGATTAATGAATTGGGTTTCCACTCATTTCACTTGCTTTTGGCTAAGAAAAGGCAGGAGGAGAAGCAAAGGATTAATAATATATAAACTATTTAACCAAACCCTGTAGCCACGGCTTGATACTCCTATCTCCTTCTGTTTCCTCTCCAATTAGAATTCCTGTGATTTCAAAGAGAATTTTTCCATGTGGGAATTATGTGGAGGAGGGACAGGATACCCAGGCCCTTGTTTGTTTGTTTTCCCATGTTCCAGGTTTGGATCAGAGAGGGCACCCTTCTTGTTCCATGGATCCATTGCTTCCTTGTTCTTTAGCCAAAGGCTTTGTCTTTGCAGCCTTCTTTATAATGGTTGCCTCTGAAAGTCCTGCAAAGTAGGTCACTGTGTTTTCTGTCTGGAAAAGGAGGACCCTGAAGCCCAGAAAGGCATATGCCCTGCTCTGGCCTAGTGAGCAGAGCTGAAACCTGACACTGCAATCCCTCTTCAGGACCACAGACTAATACAGCGCTCTGCTGTGGTTACATATGTTCAGTTCTTGAGCATGTGCACCGGGCTTCTAGATACAATGTGGAAGAGAGGCATCACCATGAGTTGGAAGGAGGCAGACGGGGGCCTGGTGTGCAGCCCTGGCTTGGACCCCTTACGGGTTGTGTTCCCTGGAGCAAGTACCCAACCACTCTGAGCTGAGGGCTCGTTTGTGAAATGAGAATCATAACCTGTTTTACAGGGTGGTGGGATTTACTTATAATGTATATAAGTGGCCAGGTATAGTGACAGTTAATGTAACATTATTTATAAATCCCTTCTTCCAGTTTTTCCTGAATCTTCCTAATCATCACTTGTTTGCCTCAAACTCAAATCCATAGCCTCCAAATGCAGTCTTTCATGGAAACATCAATTTAAACCACAGAGACAACATTGGACTTTTACTCCTTTTAATAACTTTATTTTTAGGATGGTATAAAGTGTGTGAATGCTGAGGAAGGGTGGATTGGAGGATGGTATATTGTTTGCAATTCAGGACATTGAGGCTACAGCTAAGGTCAATGATGATGGGGAACTTCCAAAACCAATTTCAAAACATAGGCTATTATTTCCATAAACTTACATGCTCTATTATAATCGGTGTTCTAAATTTTTTCTTTTTGTTATGTGCTTCCATGTTTCCGCAGGACTGGTTTCTACCCTTGCTACATTAGATTCCATTCTGTGTCTGGATAAAACAGAGAGGAGGGATGTCTCAATAACTGCTTTCCACAGTGGTACCCTGTAACTCAGGAGATAGAATGAGATTTTTGTTTTCCTCTTAGAAGCTTTTGTTCTGCACATGTGTGTTTAATTCCTACTGTGTGCAAGACACAGTGCTAGCTTAGCAAGGGGTCTATGAGCTCTTAATGCAGCAAGAGAAAGAATTCATTTCATGAGTAACTCTGAGGAAAGTTAAGATGGGCTTGCTAATGATTCTGTTCTTAGGCTCCCCCTGGTGTACCACTGTCTAAGCAATGACCTTGTGACACATAGAAGAACAATGCCTGAAAGTCACACCTCATCCTCCTATCCCCCCAAAATTGTTGAGCACCTAAATGCTGGAGATACCATTTCTGTTCTAACAGTGGTTAAAGTCTTTCATTTAAACTTGAAATTCTATTCTGCAGCCTAGCCAGCCATCTATTTTCTCAGCTAAACTTGACTCCAAATAACATTCAGCTGGTTTCAGAAATCAAATCGGTACCTAAAAACACAAAAATTACCACCAGTGAATTTGTGGAGAGGAGTGTGTGTTGCAGGCAGTTTAAAAGGTTTTGCTAAATGTTTGTGAGAATTCAAAAAAGTCCAGAGATTCTCCACTCCCTTTCAATCCCCATCCCCAAATGGGGGATGACACTTGTTTGGATATCAGAGTTCTGCAGATAAAAAAATACAAACCTCACCAGCAAAGCCCCTCAGTCCCTTTCTTGCTTCCGCACACCACTCAAGGATGAGTACCGAATGGCAGCGCTGTGTTGGGGCTCCCTGAGGGAGCCTTACATGGCTGGTCCCCAGCCAGGGATCTGGGCATTTCTTCTGGCCTTGTAAGAGAGCGTGAATTGCAGCTGTGATTCATGGACAGGCTGGGAAACTTTGCAAGGAGAAGGTTGATAACATTTTGATTCCCTTGGTTCTAGAATGTTTCCTAATACTAAATGCCCATAACAGAGTAATTTGTATCTTCTTAGGGGCAATGCACAATCTATTTGGGGCATGAATGTCGCAGCTGGAAATCTTAACCTTCACGAGTCCTGGTAGTGGATAATTAAGAGAACACGTTTGTTCATGTGTAGAAAAATTGATCTTTTTAGGGCCAGATTATTTACTTCAAATATTTGAGGTATGTCCATCAATGGCTTGGGAAAGCCAGTACTGAACAGGTGTCGACACAGAAACAAAGCATGAGAAGTACAAAGAGAGGAGAAACAGCCTGGCTTCTGGAACCCCCTTTTCCCCCCAGGGCCTGTGGGTGATCAGGTGGACTCTCAGGCAAGCCAACACCCTGCTGCCCACGTGTCATGTGTCTGCCTCAACTTCTCACAACTTTCCAGGGCTTTCCTTCTCTCTCTCTCTTTCTCTCTCTCTCTCTCTTTTTTTTTTAATTTTAGGGACAAGGTCAGGCTAAAGTGCAGTGTGACCTTATCATAGCCCACTGTAACCTTGAACTCCTGGTTCAAGTGATCCTCTTGCCCCAGCCTCCTGAGTAGCTAGGTCTGCAGGCATGCACCACCATGCCCAGCTAATTTTTTAATTTTTTTGTAGAGACGAACGAGGGCTTGCTATGTTGCCCAGACTGGTCTTGAACTCCTGGCCTGAAGCACTCCTTCCACCTCAGCCTCCCCAAATGCTAGGATTACAGGTATGAGCCATCATGCCTGGCTGATTTCCCTCTCTTGAGGGCCATTTGTTTCCTCTTATCTATCTTGGCCACTCCATCCCTCTTCACCACAGTTGGGCTGCAGGAATCAGCCATTCTTCTGAATCCCTGCTTCATCTAGCTGACCGCTCTTTATCGAGTGTCAGGCAGCATGCCGGGCTTTCGGCTTATGTTTTTACCAATCCTACAATAGTAGCTAAGGGTATGGGTTTTGGAGCCAAAAAGAAGTCTCCACAAATCCCTGGTCACCTCTTGCTAAGTGTGTGACCGTGGACAGCTCACCCAACCCCTCTGTGCTTCAGTCTCTCCAACTAAGGAAACAGTGGTACTAATAGTCCACCTCACAAAGTTTGCTGAGATTGAACTCAAAGTGTGTGTAGTAGGCACACAACTTTAGTTATGAATAAAAATCCTTTCAAACCCTCACACAACAGATATTCTCTTCTCTGTTCTCCAGATGAGGTAGCATCTGAGGTTAGACGCCTGTCTGAGGCTGCAGAGTTAATACTGACCAGAGCCAAGATCTACAACCAGTTCCAGCTGGTGCAAATCCTACACTCCTCTCTTACTCCACCTTGCTGACTGACCATCTGTGACAAAACACATTTTTGTTTTCAGTCAAAGTACTTTGTCGAGTTCTTCGCCTTGTCACCCCGACCCGCCAAATTTTCCAGTTTTCACTTGTGATTTACTTTATTCTGGACTCTCTGGTCTTACACTGGCCTGAATCAAAGATGCTGGAAAGTGATGAAGGCAGAATCTCTCCACAGAGCCAAGTCTGGTGAAACACAGAATGTAATTTATCATAAGTGTCAGAAAATTGCTGAGGCAATGATGGTACTAGCTCTGGAAAAAAAGTAACTGTGTGACATCAGATAAGTCTCTGTACTTCTCTGGGCCTTGTTTGTCAAATGAGAAGTTTATGAAAGCCCAAATGTCTTTTCCAGTGCCAATATTTCTTTACTACTTCGAACCTTTCACTACTGTTGTTTTTCTTAGCTGAAAAGAGAAAAACTGCCTTGAAATTAAGTCTTAATCAGGAAACAAGATACAATAATCATGGCCTAGCAATCACTGAAATGTAAAGTCAAATGCCATTTTTAAAAAAATCCTCATCTTTCTCTTGTACAAGACTCATGTCATTGATAAGTTAATTTCTCAGATATGTGTTAAATTCCCTTTCTCACATAATCCAACTTTGGGCAGAATCTAATGAGACCCTAATTAGTTCAGAAAATGCAACTTAAACTCAAATTTTAGAAACTTACAGAACACATAAAATTCATTTACCATTGACTGTGGCTGAGTTTTCAGTTAACTCCCAAATGACTCAAATTTGAGGAGTTTAGTGAAGGCAAATCTCTGTTATGCTGTAGAAACAGTAGCCATCCCAACAGGACACTCCTATCCCAAAAACCCTGTAGGTCCTATGCCAAAGTTTTGTTGCCTTCCAACAACTTAACTTGGTTCCCTAATTACAAGAAAAAATAAAAACAAAAGTAAAAGCATCAACAAGACATCATTCTCATATGATTTCTCAAGTTTCTAAAAGACAAATTGATTGAACATCAACTTTCTGGGAAACGGAGACTTTTTCCACATGGAGACAAATGGGGAACACCCAAATTGCGATTTTATTTTTAAAATTATTTGCTGGGAAAAGTAGACTTAATATATGTGTTTTTCTTGTGTAATTGTCATTTGAACAAAATGAACTTTCAGTCTTCCAAGAAAGCTTCTACTTTAAGTGCGGTTAAGTCAGTATTTTTTGAGAACTGATTAGTGTCAGGGACTGTGAGGCACTGGGGTCCAGGATGGATAAGGCCATCCCCCCTTCCAGGAAGACAGCAACTGCCTATTGCATGTTACATGTAAACAACCATCATATAGCTTCCTGACTAGCAGTATGTTA